GCTGCGCAGCCAAAAAAAGGTGCGATTTGGAGAGCGCGGCGCGACGTTTTGAGTGGCAGGAGTGAAAAGGCAGCGAAGCAACCCTCGAAAGCCTGCCTTCTGCTGCAGCGGGTGTCAGCCTTGGCAAAATCAGAACTTCTAGAATTTTCTTGCAAAATTATATATATGAAAAAAAAAAAGGCAATTAGAGGACCCGTTGGATTTGGCTGCTGCTTTTCTTTCCCTTGTTCCCTCAAAATGAAAAAAAGTTCTTTCTTTCACTTAACAGTGCAGTCAGTGCAATCTGGGATGTACTGCCTGCCAGAATACAGGGCCGCAGTTTTGCTGTCTCAGTTTGGTGTTCCCTGACACTGGCAAGATGAAGTGAATGCTGAACACCTTGATGATGCTGCGCTTGGAAGACCTCTGCATAAATAAATGATATTTTTTTTCCTAAGCAAGCTTGGAAATCTCTGTACCTCCTCATTTTCCCCATTTAAAGAGTGCTCTCCTACTGCTGTGAGTTTGGAGGGGCTCCGTTAAAATGAATAGGGGCACTAAGACAGAGGAGGGGAGGGCACAGGGGCTTTGCTGCTCCCAGCTTAAAGCCACAGGTGGAGCCGAGGTGAGGGCTGTGGTGGAGCTGAGCATCTGCCTGGGGTGGATCATCCCATACTCCAGCCATGGGGTTACTGCGTCCTCCTCCACTACCCTGTTCTCGTCTGAGGCAGGTCTGGGTGGACCTCTGACCGGCTGCAGCACAGAGATTTCAGCATTCACACCTCCTGCAACATGGGCAACAAATAATAAATATGATGGTTACTAATAATAGCCAACCCTCTCCATCCCTGACAGTTTATGCATGCAAAAATGCTGCAGAGTCAGTTCAATATTCCTCCTGGTTCATTAAACCAGCATCCATTTTCCTGCAGATAAGACGGTCCATCAGGGGAAGGGATGATGGTAACTCATTTGTCACACTTGTTAAATGTAGGAAAGGCTGGCTTTGGGTCACTTCCAATTTTGTGTCAGCTCTGCCTTTATCTGCACAGCCCCGCACCTGCATGCCAAGCAGGGCGGCTCTCTCCTGCACGGCATGGGAGGTGGGGACGGCAGTGCTGTCCCCACAAGATTTTGCAAAGTCGGGGGGTGGTCTCAGTGCAAAAACACCTGTGACATGGCTCCAGTGAGTCCCAGCTTATAATGGGGAACGCACTTGTTATTGCAAGAGTTGCCAGGCACATTGGTCCCACAATGACCTACACCTGTGGCTTTAAGCCCCTGGCAGTAGAGGCGGGGTCACCTCAAGTGAGTTATCCCTCAAGTGCATCCTGCAAGGCTTGTGTTTGGGCTGCAAAGCTTGAGAGGCAGGATGGGTACCTGGATGGTGAAGGATATCAAGCCAAGGCCTTGGGAACAGCCAGCGTGAGCTTGGTGCAGGTACAGGGGGAGAGAAAAGGTGATGCAACTTCACTGCTGCGCTCCTCCTAACCCTCAGAGGATTTTGGGGTGACTAGTCTGGGTCTTGCCTAAACTAGCACTGTCCCAGCGGGCTTTAATATGCTCTAATTATCAGGTGCCAGCTCAGAGTGGCTGCAACACAAGTCATTTTGGCTGCACCCTCTTTGGAGGTATTGCCATTGTGACAGGCCACCTCCTTCCTCTGCCAGGGACAAGGACAGGATACAGCCCCTAGATATGTTAGGATGGAAATGCTGATGGCTATGGCCCCTCAGATCTTGCTTCAGAGAAGGGAAGAAGAAGTAACCAAGAGAGGTTGGGAAGAGTCTTAACCTCTGGATCAGTAATCATAGAGCAGTTCATGGCCGAGATACTTCCTAGGGCATCATGTAACTGCAGTGCCAGTGGAAACTTCAGTGCAAAACAGACCCCTGATCTGGTCTGGTGTGGAAATGCCCTTCACTGAGTGGTGAGCAGATAGGACCGCAGGTCCTTCTACCAGTAGCTTTCCCCATAAATGAAGGCCAGGCTGAGATTAAGGCATGGAGACCTGGGCAGGAAGGAGGTGACATCTCATGAGGCTTTCAGGGAAGTATCCTCGTGGTCTGTCCCCACGGCCTACTATGGCGTAGCCCTCACTGAGCACAGCCCAGAGACAGCATGTTGATTTAACCATGCACTCAGCAGAAGATGAAGCATCCCTCAATGGCCTGTCTGCATTCCTCATCTGTTGCTGCACCTTCACTTTCATGGTGGGTGCAAAGGTGGACGCTGTTGCCTCCTCCTGGCTCCATGGCTGGTCTGCAGCAACGTGTCTCCCTCCATGCGAGGTCGTCTTATAGCTGGAAAAAGATGAGGCAGCTGCGGCATAGGAGATGAGATGAAGGCTCAGAGGGGCTGAGAAGCTGTATTCTAGTCCTGGTCTTGCCACTTGTTTGTGGTGTTTTCAAGCCAGGACGTGTTGATTTGCAGCACCGCAGGCAGCTGCAGGGCTCCGAGCTCCCACCTCGTTCAGCAGCAAACGCACGGTGTCTCCGAAGTCTGGCTCTCAGTAACGACCCTGGGAAATGCTGCGGTAGCAGCAGGTTCGGACTGCGGTGATTTATTTCTGTCTTCGGCGCTGGTCCTAGCAGGGGAGGGGGGACCTGCCCGCTCGGCTGTGTTTGCTTCCTTGCGATTGATCGACCACCACGGGAGTCGCTGAGGTCTCCGCTCTTAAATCTGGATCCGCGCCCTCTTTTACGGCTGCGCGCGGCCCCGGCCTGCAGCAGCATCCCTCACTCCTGCTTTAAATCTCTCTGGAGCAGCCACTCGTGACATTAGCGTTTTCTCTTGCCAGCCTGTAGGGACCAAGAGCCCGGCCCTCCTAAGGAAGGAATTAACCCAGCAGCATCAGATATCAGAGGTATCTTTATTGACCGTTCACAGAAATACAGTAGCACTCGGTTTTAGGGGGCTTAGGCGAGTTCTCCGGAAGGTGCCTTCCTTCTCAGCATTGCCGGGCAATCCTGAGGAGAAACCTGGCCTTTAACGCTTTAGGGTTTTTCTGGAGGCTTTGGGGCTCCCTAGCACGAACTTCCTAACACCCTCAGCTCTCCAGAGGTTGAGAGTTGTTAGAACCAGTGGATGAAACTCAAGCCAGGAAAAGGAAAAGAAACCCCTGTACGCCGAGGGGTGGTGGGGCAGTCTGAGCACGTCTGATATGTTGTGAGCCAGCCCTGCCGTGGTCACCATCCACCACTGCACACACCTCCCACTCGGCAGGACCCCGCTGCTCCCCAGAGCTCAGCTTTCTGCAGCCAGGCGCGTGTCGCTCTCGGCTTCGCACGCTCTTGTCACACGGCTTGTTGGCCATAAAATAAATATTTCTTGGTCTATTTTCCTCCCTGTACATGTGTAAGAGTGAGACCCTTTCCTACAGCAGTTCACAAACTGTTCGGGGGCAGGAAGGATATGCTCAGCTGGGCTGATCGACTCATGTAATTTTTATTTATGTATTTAATTGGCGCTTTTTTTTTTTTTTTGCAATCAAGGTGGAGTGTTGGTTTTGTTGTTTGTTTTTTTTTGCGTCCTTGCTACAAGAAACAACTGCAGACACTTCTGGCATAGAGGCATTTTGGCGGTGGCCGCTGCTATTGGCCTCACTCTAGTAGTCAGTGAGGGGGTATCGCAGGAAGATGAAGATAAGGATGATACAGAAGGTGGCAAGGGCTGAGCTGGTGATGTTAAAAAGCCGGGCTGTCTTGGCATCTTCAACTGCTCCATTTAAGTCATTGAGGAGTTTCTTATCCCGGACCTGAGACCAAAAAAAAAAAAAAAAAAAATTGGAAGATGTATAAAAAGACGTAACTTGTTTCAAGCAACACCCATTTTGTAGGGTACCTGCACAGTGGACGAGGGCCGGGCTGTGCCTCTTTGCATTTGAACACTTGGGGTGCTGTAAAACACCCCAAGGTGAGGTTTGCGTCCTGGCTCTGCTATGGGTTGAGCTTGGGAAGCCAAGCACTGTAGTGCCTGAGGGCTGGAAAACCCTGGGAGCGGAAAGGACCTGGAAGAGTGACCCATTGCTGTTACCAACCAGACAAACCAGGTCCCTGTGGCCCCTGGAGTGGGGCAGAGCCATTTTGAGCCCGAGGGTGCACAAGGGAACTGAGGTGCCGTCGTGCACCCCATGCACGTGGGCACTAAAGCATTCTTCCCACCGTGTCGCAGCCCCCTGGCCCTGCAGCGCTGGCCTTCGGCTCGCCCGGCCCACGAGTGAGAAAGCTGGCTGTGGTTTCGGTGTGCATCCCCATGCCTCCATCTGTGCTGAGGGGCTGAGTGGGAGAAACCTGGCACGGCATCCTACTGAAGCTCCAGGGCTGCGCACAAGCCTCCAGCATATTAAGCAGTCCTGGGTTAATGAGTTCCTTTTGCAGGTCTTATGCGGTTCTTGTAGCATCTCTGCCACTGGCAGTTTTCAATCCTGACAGTGCGGTCTGCTCTCTTCATTATCCTGCAGGCTGGGACTTTCATGGACTTGCCTTGGGACAGTTCTGCAGGGCGCAAGGATTGTCCATGTCCATGTCACTGGCTCGCCTTCACCTCCTTCAGCCTGCCAGGCAGTGCATGGCACTGCCAGGCAGCGATGGCACCAGCAGGCATTGATAGCATTACCAGACAGCGATGGTATCATCAGGCAGTGATGGCATCACCAGGCAGCAGATGGCACTACAAGGCAGCAATGCCACTAGCAGGCACGGATAGCATTACCAAGCAGTGGAGGGCACAGCCAGGCAGTGGCATTGCAATGCTGCAGATGGCAAAGCCAGGCAGCGATGCCACTAGCAGGCAAGGATGGCACTATGAGGCAGTGCATGGCACTACCAGGCAGCAGACGGCACTGCCAAGCAGTGAATACAACTAGCAGGCAGTGATGGCATTGTCAGGCAGCTGATGGCACTGCCCACCAACAGCAGCTCGGCAGTTTGAGCCCAGCAGATGAGTGGTCAGGCTCCATCCCTTCCTAGCAGGAATATGTCCCCAGCCCCAAATGGCCCCAGCAGCCAGCGCTCAGCTGACCCAGGCAGCTGCAGCCACAAGGATGCGGGACGAAAGGATCAGGAGACTTCGCTCCTCTTCCCTTTCCCATATCTGAGCAGGGTGCCCAGGGCCGGCAAGGTGTGGCTGCACCTGCTTGGCTGCCCACATTACAGCCGGAGGGTTGCGTGTCCTTGGCAGCCGGCCTTCGCTGCCGGAGCACGAGCACCATCGAGGCGGTGCCGGCTGAACACTAGATGTCGGTGGCAGCCTGTGAAACCAGCTCCAGAGCCCTACCTAGAAATATTAAAAGGCTTTTATCGACCAGGAGCTTTCTGAAAAGACTCTGCGGTGGATTCAGACCACGTCTTAGTGACTTTTTCTCTCTCCCTCCTGCAGTGCTTACCCACAGGGCTGTCCTGAAAGCCTTCTGCGACTTGCTGGATATGGGGAAGGCTTGCTGAACCCCTCATTCCCACTAAGCCATGCTGGTTTATCGGCACCCCAAAACCAAGGCTCAGACCCTCAAGCAATGTCCTCTCCTTCGTCACACCAGTGAGGACCTCTCTGCAGAAGCACCCCCTGCTCTTCATTAATCCTGGACCACAGAGAGGGAGGCTGCTGCTGGCGTGAGGCCCACAGGAGCTGGCACTGGCAGGCATATAGGCAAGAAGGAGAGCTCTGTTTTCCTCCTCGTACTAAAACCTGCAGTGCCATATCCTCAGCCCCTGTTGTGCCCCGCTCTTGGGAGCCTGCAGCTGGAGCTGGGGCCATCCACCCATCACCCCGCTGCTGAGCGCTCCGTGGCTTCAGGGCATCCTTCTGGGAATGGGACTGTCACAAACCATGCGTGGCTCTGCGGCATGCTGGGCTGGTGGTCCCATGGGACTGTCACAAACCATGCATGGCTCTGTGGCATGCTGGGCTGGTGGTCCCAGCAGCGGAGATGACCTCTGGGAAGGCAGCAAGCCGGCAGCCTGGAAGCCCACACACCTTTTTGTGTCAGCAGCATGTCTGGGATGACTCACCTTTGAAATTATTCGGTAGATTTAGCATCCTCCCGAAAACCCTTGGGCGCAGCAGCGCCAGGCTGTCGGCACCTCCTCACCCGCTGGTGAGAAGCGCAGACGTCCCTGCACCCACAGCCCCAGGGCCGCTGGATTTGAGCCAGAAATCCCACCCGCTGCTCCCGGCAGGCTCTTTGAAGCTCTCACGCCCTTTCCTCTTCCCAGTGGCAGGGCTGCCGGAGGCAAACCCTGCGCAAAGCAAACGCCCTCTGCTTCTTCCTCCTCCGTAACCCAGCTGG